AGCTCTCATAATGAATATACACTGATCTGCTTTATGGTGTCCCATAATTCTCTTAGTCTCTGTTCATTTTTCTTTATTATTTTTTCTTTTTGTCTTCAGACTCAGTTTCAAATAATATGTCTTCACATTTGCAGATTCTCTCTTCTGCTTGAGTCTGCTGTCCAAGCCCTCTAGTGAAGTTTTCAATTCAGTTATATTTTCAATGACAGAATTTGGGTTTTAAAAATAATTTCTACCACATTCTCAGTTTGTTCATATATAGTTTGCCTAATTTCCTTTAGTTTGTTGCCCATGTTTTCTTTTAGTTTTGGGTATATTTAAGATAATTATTTTAAAGTCTTTGTCTAGTAAAGCAGATATGTGTGTTTCTTCTAGGATAGTTTCTGGTTTCTGGAGACTAATTTTGTTCCCTGAAAGGTCGTATTTTTTTCTTTGTTTTTTTTTTTTTTTTTTTTTTTTTTTTGCAGGGGAGGGATGTGTGTGTAGGGTCTCGCTCTGTTATCCAGGCTGGAGTATAGTGGTGTGATCCTGGTTCACTGCAACCTCTCATCCCCTGGCTCAGGTGGTCCTCCCACCTCAGCCTCCCAAGCACCTGGGACCACAGGTGTGCAATACCACACCCAGCTATTTAAAAAATATTTTTAGTAGAGATGGGGTCTTACCACGTGGCCCTGGCCAGTCTTGAACTGAGCTCAGGTAATCTACTCACCTTGGCCTCCCAAACTGCTGGGATTACAGGTATGAGACACTGCACCTGGCCTTGTTTTTTTCCCTTTTTTAATATAAATGGGGTTTTGCTGTTGCCCAGACAGGACTTGAACTGCTGGGCTTAAGTAATCCTTCCTCAGCTTCCCAAGTAAACCGGGATTACAGGTGTGTGCTGCCATGCCTGGCTTCTTTGTATCTTTTGTTGAAAATTGGGAATGTGAAAAAATAGCCACCTCTCCCTATTTCTAGTGTTCTTATTTCTCCGCAGGCTCACCAGCATCTGTTGTTTCTTGACTTTTTAATAATTATTCTCATGGCATGAGATGCTATCTTACTGTGTTTTTGATTTGCACTTCTCCAATGATCAGTGACATTCAAGGTCTGGCTATGTTGCTCAGGCTGGTCTTGAACTCCTGGGGTCATGTGATCTTCTCACTTCAGCCTCTCAAAGTGCCGAAATTACAAGCCTGAGCCACTGCCCCGTGTCTAGGTTAGGCATGAAAAAAAAAAACTAAACAGGGAAATTAGAAAAATGTGTTTAAGCCAGGGGTATCCAATCTTTTGGCTTCCCTGGGCCATACTTGAAGAAGAACTGTGTTGGGTCATATATAAAATATATTAACATTAACGATAGCTCGGGACCTAAAAGAAAACAGAAAAAAACCTCATAATATGTTAACAAAGTTTATGAATTTGTGTTGGGCCACATTCAAAGTTGTCCTGGGCCACAATACATCCTGTGGGCTGTAGGTTGGACAGCTTAGTTAAAGCCATAGGATTAAACATGCAGCATAAAATGAGTAATAAATATATGAAAAAATTTGGCTCAGGCACACAAGAAGAAAAGTGAAATCTATGACACAGAGTTTACTCAAAGTATGATCTGTGGACCTCTGTTACCTGCCTGTGACCAGTTAGTAAGTCATACAGAAATTTGATATTACCCACCACTTGTACTTTACAAGAGGATTAGTCCACATGCATTGAAAATTAAATGGGTAGGGCATGGCAGTGGCTCACACCTGTAATCCCAGCACTTGGGGAGGCAGAGGTGGGCGGATCACTTGAGGTGAGGAGTTGAAGACAGCCTAGCCAGCATGGTGAAGCCCTGTCTCTAGAAAAATAAAACATATTAGCTGGGCATGATGTCAGGTACCTTTAATTCCACCTACTTGGGAGGCTGAGGCAGGAGAATTGCTTCACCCAGGAGGCAGAGATTATAATGAACCAAGTTTGTGCCAGACTGGGCGACAGAATGAGACTCCCTCTCAAAAAAAAAAAAAAAAAAAAATTAAATGATCTATCTAAAAAAAAACCAAGCTAGTCCTTCACTACACCCAAATAGAGGAGTGATCAACAGCAATGAAATTTACCATCAAACTCTTAAAACGAGTTAAGATCAAAAACTAAGAATCTCAAAGAACCCCTGAAAGACAAGACATGTATGTTGCTCTTTTATTATCTTTTCTTTACAAGAACATTTTAATAAATTGTGTCATAGGTCATCTTTGTGTTGGAAATGATGGTAATTCTAAAGCAGGAAAAAATAAGACTGCAGAGAGAGTCTCCAAGGTTCCGTCAGCATTAAATCAGTAACTACCTACTGTGTGCTGCACCCCTGTGCCCAGAATGAGGTTACTAAGATAAATCCTGTTCTCTAGGAACTTGGTCTCTAAGGAGAAGCTATGTGTTAAGATCCTTTCCCCTTGAGCTATGAATGTGAGAGTAAGCATATTTAGGTAGATACATATATTTTAAATTTATCAAGTGAGATGCCTGGACAAATTCTATAACCAAACACTGGAGAGCAGTGAAAATAAAGTACAAAATTTGCCAAAACAAAACTTATCACCTCTAGATGACACAGAAATCCCAAAGACTTTACAAGAATCATAAAGTTTTGCTTCTGTAGTTAATTTAAAAAAAAAAAATGAAACCAAAATGAAGCATCTACAATGTATTCATAATTCTCTTAAGAATTACCTTTCTTTGACATCAGTATAGCATAGTTACTAGGGACATGTTTCTTTAGTTACATGAATTAAAGTATAATAAGAATCTTTGTCAGATTTTTTACTTGTAAATACTAGAAAATGCAAGGGGGTTTTATGAAGGACACAATTTTAAAAGATCTCTAGGCACACAGGACAGAAATGATTGAACAGGCAAAGCTATAGTGGAGCCAACCCTGACTCCAGGTTCTTTTTCTTTAATGTATACACAGGAACTGTGAACATCCTATAAAGTGGATCTGTTCTCATTACCCTAGTTGACAGATAAAATGCCAACTGTTAACTGTCTGCATGTACCAGGCAGAACTGGCACTGCAGCAGCACTGAAGGTACTCTAAAAACTAATGCTTAAATTCAGGAGCAACCCAAGGCTTAACGTGTGTTGCACTGACAATAAACAGACCATATTTATTCTTTAGGAAACAGTGCTATTCCTATTTTCCTTGAAGGAATTCTGGAATGTCAGCTCCCTGGGTAGGAATGCCTCTGGTTAAAGTGTCTTAATTAAAAACTTAGCCAGAGACTATGTTTTAAGAGTACAGACAAAAATAACACAGTAGTAAGAGCAATACAGGGAAGAGAATTATCTTTTATGCAGGTAGAATGGTCATGAAGTTATAAACAATAGATGGCTGTTGTGACACAAATTCTGTATTACTAAGAGTTAAGGCTATGCTAATAGCTGTCTGACACCCTAACCTACTTAAACAGTAGCAGAGAACAAGCAACCCAAACGGATATGTGTAACTGTTTTTTAATGGTATCTACTCATATACTTGACATTCTTTTATCAAGTTTTTAAAGCTCAAAACCAGAGTACAGCAAATATGTGAGAACGCAGTAGGGTTTAGTCGTCTTTGCTCTCACTTTCTGCCTGCTCACATCTCAGACTGTGGGCTAGTCATTGACCCTCATCCTTCTTCTAGGCCAGAGTCCAGCACAACTGAGGGGCCATGGTCACTCCTGCCCTATAAACTTGGAGAGGACAATCTGAACTGCAGCCACTCACACTGCCACTGATGAGTCCAAGCTATAGACGGTCTACTTTCAAATGGAAGAACAGAAATAAGCTTCCACAAGGCATTGCGTAGGTCTGCACTCAAGGTACTCAGTTCATTTCAGCGTTTACTAACACCAAGCTTACTGAGCACCTTTTCCGTACTAGGCCCTGTGCTAGATGATGCTCAAGGTATATGTCTTCTCTCTCTTCCCCTCCCTCCCTCTCCAAAGTAGCTCTTGTACTTTAACAGTCTCTCACAGGCTAAAATTTTAGCTGCAGGTACAGAGACAAACAAATTATCACATTTCAGATCATGGCAATAAGTGTAATGAAGAATATAATGCTGAGAGACATATTTCCTAAGAAATCAATGGTCATGAATGAGAAGAAATGCTGTAAGAAAATGGGCAAATATAATGAGAACACATGGACACAGGGAGGGGAACATCACACACAATGGGGTCTGTTGGGGAGTGGGAGCTAGGAGAGGGATAACATTAGGAGAAATACCTAATGAAGGTGACGGGGGATGGAGGCAGCAAATCACCACGGCATGTGTGTACCTATGTAACAATCCTGCAAGATCTGCCCATGTACCCGAGAACTTTAAAAGTATAGTAATTAAAAAGAAAAGAAAATGGGCAAATATCTTTAATCCCCATACTTCTGTGAAACCTGGCTGCCTCTCATATAAGGGTTTAGCAGTTATCTGCTTTAATTCCTTTCTGACTCAAAAATTCTATGGTGCCAGGCTTAGGAATATTTTCTGCTGAACTTGATCATTCCCATTAAGTTGTTCAGTAGTTTTTACTTTAAAATAACACTATTAAAATTTCAGTAAGGCAAAAACACCATAAGCAGAAAAACACAGCAAATGACGTATAGCACAGGAATTCTTATCAAGCCAAAGGAAACAAATTTCCAATGCAATTACCAATATGTATTTCTTACATTCCTTTGTATGTACTAGATTCTGAGTTCTCAATAAATCTGAAACATAATAGGTGCTCAATGTATATTAGTTAAACAAAGGAATTCAGTTCCATCAAAGATCAAAACATTTAACTTTCCAAGATTTCAGGAAATGGTATTATCTACTTGTGATAAAGATATGGAAATCTTTATTACCTTCCTGGAGGGCAGTTAAGTGGCTGCCTTGTGCCTAATAAATCAATTTCAATCAAATTCAGAATTTTCTACTTGTGAAAATGTACTATCTTAATATATTAAAAAAACAAGGCATTTTCTCTATTTAGGGGTCAAAACCAGAAAGATAATACCTGGGCTGGAGTGTTTGTAGTCACAGGAGATGGCGATTCACTAACTTTTGGCTCACTTGGGGATGCAGCTGACCCCTGTGACTCCTGACTCGCAGGCTGGTCCGGAGACAAAGCATCACTGCTGTCTTCGTCAAATGAGAAATCACCTTGAGTGTGGGGATATTCCTCCTTCCCAACGCCTAAAGAAAGAAATGATTTTTGACTTATGTTGGCTTTGGAATACCAAGCTTAATGTGAAGGAGGAAAAGACTCTCCTATGGAAATTTATGAAGCTGCTTTAAAAAAAGTCAAACCAATGTACTTCCCAGTGCAAGAACACACCACTACCCATGATGCATTCTCGGGTAGAAGAGAAATAAAAATCAAACCTACATTAGATTAAGACTTTGGGTCCAGCCACTAGTTACAGGAAGTACAAGTGCCAGTAATCTTAATAACACCTGGGAATACAAATGGAATCAGTAAAATCGAGAATGTGGGACTTGCTAGAGAACGAATAAATGTTTTGTCAATAAATAACTAGTAAGAAAAAAAAAAGATCCACCCAATACATTAAGATTTAAGAGACATATCAGTCAGAGGCAACGTGTGGACCTTGTTTGAATCCTGAGGGGAAATCCAACTGTTAAAAGACAAGAGACAAGGGGGAAAACGGGGACATGACTGGGTGTATGCTGTTAAGTTCCCACTTTAGGGAGCAACTCAGCTACACTGACATCTCACATGACTTTTTTTTTCTGCTAAAGTTTATACCAGAAACAAAAGGGGAAACATCAGTAACTGTAATAAGATCAGGATAAAACAGATACTACCCATTCTATACTCATGTGCTATTCACCTTCCTGAACTAACATTGAACATGCTATTTATCTTTCCTAGAAGTAGATAAAATAATGAAAAGTTAGTAAAAATATTAAACCACAGAATCTGACCGTAAGTTTAACTTAGAAAAAGTTAAGTAGTTTTCATCATCCCTGGGGACTTCATATTTGTACTGGTATGCATTTAAAGCTCAGGCAATCTGTAGTCACGAATTCTGAGCAGTACAATCAACCATGATTCCACGCAGTCCTAAAGAGATGGACCCCAAAAGGTGAGAGGAAATCAGCAAGTAATAATTAAACCTCAGACTTAACAAGGGAATCTGTTAACTGGCAGTAGATGCTAGTCTTACAATACATAATGAAATGATAGTACCATGAATCACTGTGTTAATTTCTAATTATCCCAGAAAACAATACTCACGATTGGTGCTAGCCTTTAAATTACATTTGTTTTATCTAAAACTTCCAAGTGTCTCTTTCTCCCCACAAATAGTAAATTTTTAGAGTCTTGCCTATAATTGCTTCTTTAACACTGGAGTCTACAGGAAGGATGTTTTTCTCTACCAGCTCCATAGGACCAGGTCTTTGAGCAATCTTTTCATTCAGATCATCTGCTAGTCGAGCTCTTTTCAACTTCATCTGGGTAGCCTGCAGCGATGGCTCTGCAAATGTTTCTAAGAGAGGGAAACACAGTTTTAACCATTATTTGAATTACTATTTCTATTCCATAATGTTATTTCAGGCCAACTAACTGAATTTAAACTGATTTAAGACATATTTTTGTGTTCTCAATGTATTTATGGAAAGAGAAAATGACTGTTAAAGAATGCTCCAGTATGCATTTTGTATTTTTCAGTCCTGGATAGCTTTACTTTGTCTATATAATTTGGATGCCCACAGACTCAAACTAACAAGTCCTTTAACTAAAAATGGGGTACTGCTAATGTTTATTTATGGTAGGAGGGTGAAATTCACATTTATTAGGTATTGGGGATCCAGAGAATGAGCAAGACAGATGTGGCCCATGGCTCAAGAAGTTGACAGTCCTAGATTTGGTGTCTTTGGAAAGTCAATTCTTAGAAGGGAGACACTGCCTCTTAGAGTTATAAGCTTCTCTGCAGAGGTCAGTGGGAAGAGCTATCATTCATGTTCTTGAATTGATCCCTCTGTGTCTCGGCTGGTCATCATAATTAACAATTTGGGGCCAGGCGCAATAGCTCACGCCTGTAATCCCAGCAGTTTGGGAGGCCGAGGTGGGCGGATCACGAGGTCAAGAGATCTAGACCGTCCTGTCCAACATTGTGAAAACCCTTCTCTACTAAAAAAACAAAAAAATTAGCTGGCTATGGTGGCATGTGCCTTTAATCCCAGCTACTAGGGAGGCTGAGGCAGGAGAATTACTTGAACCTGGAAGGCAGAAGTTGCAATGAGCTGAGACTGTACCACTGCACTCCAGCCTAGCGACACAGCAAGACTCCGTCTCAAAAAAAAAAATTGGGTTTATTTCTGAATATATATCTTCGTGTCAGGAACATTCAACTATAACATACAATAATTAATGGTTGTATAGAGGCATCAACTCATCTACTTACAAATGCATGAAATTGGTACAACCAATTAACCAAATGTAAAACTATCATAAATACCATTAATTCATCCATCTGCTTCTTTCTGTCAATATTTGTATTTCTGGTAACTCTCATTAATGTTTTTTCCATTGTTCTAAAAAATGTTTATAAATGATGAAAAATAATGATGTGTGTCTTCCCAAAATTCTGAGTTGAAAGTTGCTTGCCTCTTAAGTTATACTATAGAAGGTCTTTAATGAAACTCCCCATACGTTGGCTTAAGATGAATTGATATTCTTTATTCTGTAGGTATTAATAGAACGTTCTGGCTGAAGCCCAAGGCGCACTGAAAGCACATGGCTAGGAGGTTACCCTGAAGCACATCTGTGCAGCTTCTCTATCTACCAACTGAGCTGTATGCGTGCCAAAAGTGAGCCTTGACTGTCCAGAAAATGATTCATATCTTTCATGACGACTATTGTCAATACATAATTTAACTAAATGTCACGAGGAAATGATAAACTTCAAAAGTAAAATGATTATTTCTTGGAAACTTATATGCTTTGGAAAAATTTGATAAAGGTGAGTCATTAAAAAAACACTGTCAAATTCGTCTGAGCAATTAACTGTAAGAAATTAGAGAAAAGGTTGTAAAATCTAGGATTTTAAAGCTCAGATTGTTTAAGTGTCTTTATTTCTGTTGCACCATACATGGAAACTTTAGGTGCTATACACTGGCTGTGCTTTATGCAATGAAGATGATGTGAGCTCCATTCACTGAAATCTTACCCAAAAAGGAGGCCCTAGCACAAGGTTGGAATATTGTAAATAAAGGTACGTTTCTACCACTTAAAATAAAATGTATGTGCATTTCATTTTCATAATTTTCCCATACAAGCAACTGTAGCCCCAATCTTCTGAGATAAAACAATTAACCATGTAAGATGATAGTTGGGGAGAATCAGACCATAGGATCACTCTTAGGTTGGTATTTCAATGCTTCTGGTTAAGATCTAGGTAGGACAGGCTCTGTCTTTCTCCTCTCTTCCATTAACACCACCACATATGGAAAGAAAATATTCCCAAGTAAGTAAGTGAAGCCTGGCATTTTGCTATGTTTCTGTTCCTGGTCTTATTACCTGTATATCCATGACTGAGGCTAAAGTTTAGCTGCTGAACTTCAGTAAGTAAGTTAGACTCTTGCCTGCCAAATATCCAATTCAATCAAAACTGGGTTAATGTTAACATATAGTTGGGAGTGGTGGTGGTTTTAAGATACTTTAAAAAGTAAAATGAAATAAAACTTGAGAACAGATGTCTCAAAAACATCATTTATGATTCATTCATAAATACGGTTAGATTTTTAAACAGTGGATAGTCTTAAAGATTTCTTTTGAGATTGAATGTATTTTCCTTGATTTTAATTGTGTTAATAAAGCTTGTTATACTTAGAAGGCAAACTGAAAATAGATAGCATTGTTACTACAAAAATGTCCCTTATAGGTCAATATGTTTTCAGGCAAAGCAGCAACCACTTACTTGGCTACTTATCAGTAAACTTGCTTCTTTGAAGATTCACTTAGCCCTGACTGGTAGCTGCTCTACCCTACTGCTGGCGTTCTGGAAAAGCCTTTTTAGTCCAGCGGACTTCTAAGAACACAACCCAAAGTAGAGAAAGGGACATACCTCTCACCTCCTGCCCCTGGAATGAGGAGGACAGCCACATAATAAAAGATTCTTTACAAAGAAGAGCCCCTACTTGGGGTTGTAGAGACCACCTTGATGCTTGGAACTTCTTTACCACATCCTTAATACCGTGAGTTTGTTTTCTATCATAGCAGCCTGTTAACTTCCCACGGAGTTCTTCTCATTATCTGTAATTCACTTGTTTTGCTTGCTTGTTTATTATCTATCTCTGCTACTAGACTGCAAGCTCTGTGAAGTCAGGCATCCAGCTTTCTCACTTACTTGTTGGGTCCTTGGGGTCTAGCACACTGGCCAGTGAAGGAACACCTCTAAATAATGGTAGCCATATCACCTGCTGAAGATTTCATTTCTGGACATGTCTGACCTTTAGGATATTATTTCTTATGTTGAGCTACAATCTAATACTTTGTAGTATCAATCTAACTTACTAACTCTAATCCTATCATTAGACCCAGAGAACAAACTTTCCTTCTACCTGAAGATTGTCTCTCAATTTTTGAGAAGTTTTCAGATTCTTTCTGTATCTTCTCAAGACTTAACACACCCAAGACTACCACAGAGTCCTAGTCTTAATAAATTGGTTGAAGAAGCAAAACAATGGAGTTTACGGTGGAGGTATAAGCTTTTGAGAATACTTTGCCTTTAGAGAGAATAACATCCTGGCCTGACCCATGTGTTAACCAAAGATGGAATGGAACTGTCCTTACCAGCCTTGTAAGTGTTGAGGCTACACAACTGAGATAATTTGGCAGAGGTGAGTGAAAGTGCTAATGGTTAGCTCAAGGTGGCTTGTTGTAGGTAAGTGGCAATAAAGAAAAAATGTGGGTGTGGGCACTGTACCAGGTAGACACAGACAAGGTCCAAGTAGTTGAACATCTAGGGTTGGACTTAAACTACTGCATTCTGTATGACTTAGTAAGTAGGTACATGTCCCTCATTGATAAATCCTCTGGACCCCAATTTTTAAATTTTTTATCTAACAGTATGGTAGAGGTATCTGTGGTACCAGCTGGTGTGGAAGTGTTAGTCCATTAATTGGTTATGTTAAGAATCACACCTTCCCCGTATATCTAACATAATGTTTTAGCTTTGGGTCTTCATGTTGCTACCCAATTTGGAGGATGTAAGGTTGTAGGGTAAAAAGTTATTAAAATGTAAATAAAGAGAAAAGGTGGAATTCTCATTTCTTTTCTTGAAAAAATACATCCAATTAAGAAGAAATAAATCCTTTACCTTCTAAAATGTGCATCCTGACAAGTTCTGAACGATCTGGTCGACTCCGAATCTTGTGTTTCAAAAAATTTTCGGTCTTTAAAAAGAAAAAAAAAAAAAACTCTTACCATAAATTATTTATTATTCATTGTGGTTTTAAATGTTCTCTAAGGTACTCCATTTGAATAAACCATATACCCTTTTGGTCATGTGTTTGAGAAGAAGAGTAGAAATTAGTGCTCAGGAAAACTATTATTTAATACATACTTTAAATTGTAGCCTTCGAAAGTGTAGAAGGATGTGAAGAGTATGTTGGTGTAAACTAAGCACTTTATAAACTTTGAAAACTTGTCAATATTGAAAGATCATGGTTTTGAAGATAATTAAAAAATTTTTTTTAAATGAACATATCATTTAAATCACTTAAATATCTAAAATCAATAAAATCTATACTTCAGGTCCAGTAAAAATCCACCTAGATAAAAAATTTCCTAAATATCCTAATGTATTTTCTTTGATAAGCTCATATTTTCTTTTTTTAATATATATATTTTTATTCTTATTATTTTTATTTTTTTATTATTTATTTTTTTTGAGACGGAGTTTCGCTCTTGTTACCCAGGCTGGAATGCAATGGCGTGATCTCGGCTCACCGCAACCTCCACCTCCTGGGTTCAGGCAATTCTCCTGCCTCAGACTCCTGAGTAGCTGGGATTACAGGCACACTCCACCATGCCCAGCTAATTTTTTGTATTTTTAGTACAGATGGGGTTTCACCATGTTGACCAGGATGGTCTCGATCTCCTGACCTCGTGATCCACCCGCCTCAGCCTCCCAAAGTGCTGGGATTACAGGCGTGAGCCACCGCGCCCAGCTCATATTTTCTTAATTAGATAATGTATTTCAACTCTTAAGCAAGAAAGCCTTAATATGGGTTTTAAAAGAATAAGATATAATTACAGCATTCTCTAAAAATTCTTAAGAACATTTTGGAGTATTATTTTCATGTTGCATGATAGAAATTTTCTCCAAAACAAAAAGAATGAATATTCATAATGGCACTTTAAAAAAGTATGATGGTGAAGTATTAAAGAATAAATCAGAGTTGAATGTAGCAGTATTTTCTGATTTAGCCATATTCTCCTTTCCTTGGACAAATGTACAGGTAAAAGGGACCCAGTAGGGTAATCACCTAAGGATCTGGTCTCAGCACATTCTTGACTGTCTCTGTGCAGGGGTAACAAATGACAGAATTACCCCCCTCTTATGCCTCTAAAAACTGTTATGCTCTGAGAGCAAGAAAGCAAAGAAGTATGATTTGTCCTTTCTGTACAATACTAGTTACTGGTTTTAAAAGAACAAAATTTGAATGTCATGTATTTTCTTCAAACCTCCAAGATCAAACTACCCCAGAGTAAATATTCTCTAGGCCATGTATCCTGAAAATACATTATTTTTTCTCTATTGACATATTTAGGAGTAAGACTGCTACTTGTACACAGATATTTTAGAATAGAGGAGAGAAGTAGAGCATTTTAAAGTGAAATATCTTACTCTGGCTCGTTCCAAGCTTTTTATCTGTTCATGGAATGCTGCTGGGCTCTTCAAAGCTGTGAGAAGAAAAGAAATTATTTCCACAGTATAAATAGAATTCATACTTCAGTCCAATGTTACATCATGTTGATAATCCTATTAATAAATCACATCTACAGTTCCATTAATTTACTAGTTCCATTAGGAGACCCGCAAAATTTGAAATCATAAATGTTACAGGATAAAAATTACGCATTTCATAAATGAAGCAAGTAGACATTTAAAACATGGTTGTATACAAATGACAAGGCAAGTATCAGCTCAGACTAGTTCTGACCACTCATAGCACAACTTCATTGCCGAGGGGACTGTCTGATGACTCCTTGATGAGTCTCTGCTCTTAATGGTCATTTAAGCTATAGTAAAAGTCTGTATGTCCTTGGGAGTGACGAAACCTTGAACATGGGGACACATTGCACTTTGTGTCCAACAGATCTGAGGTATCATTTATTCAGAACCCGTTAATAGGATCTGTGCTTAAACATGGCTATGTTGCTGTTGGTCTCCCAGTAACCTTGCCCAGATTGGTATAAGTTCCAGTACAGGTGAAAGGTTTAAAGAGGTTAAGTGAATTCTTGGGGCCATATAACTAGATGGTGGTCAAAGTGACATTTAAATCTAGATTTTTGAATTTGCAGGGTTCATGCTCTTTCTACTATACCACAGTGCAACTCACTGTAAAGACACAATGACTCCTTAATATGCTAACTGCTGGTAAATCAAATACTCTGGCATCCTAGTGTGAGGGTAAGCAGTGCTTACCAAATCATCACCTACAACAGTTTTCCTATCAATTACCTTTGCAAAATCTTATCTGTGTATGTCTACCACTTCCCGGTACCACCCTGCACTTACAAGCATGGGCAGTCAGATGAGTGGATGGGACAGAGGACTTGGATTCCTTGGGCTGCCACCTCTAAGACTTGACCAATCTGCTTTTACAGCATTATTTTCAGCTCTGGTGAATGAAGTACCACAGAAACTCCCAGGAGCCCAGTCCAATCAGTTTTGGCTAGGGACCAGCCCCCAAAAGCAGATTAGAGCTGGCCTAGTAATGGGTGTCTTAAATATCATAATTTGATCCTCTTTGATTGATTGGTTCATAGTCAGGAATGTGGTAGTGGAGAAATCTGGCAGATTATCAAAGCACCTTTTGACTATCACAATGCTAGACTGAAAATATTTAGATTCTCAGTAGTCCAGAAAAAGTTTTACTGGGAAAAACAGCTACTAAAGAGAAAAATCATACCTTATCATAAACCAAGAAACAGCTTATCGCAGCCATGATTCAGAAGACTGAAAAGCATAAGCTGATTTTGTAATTTCCTTCTAGTGTTTTAAAACGAATTAAGTTACCTCTTGGAAAGGTCAATTTTTTACACAAAATCCAGATACACAGTCCTAACAGCCAACACCAAACAACCACTCCTTCCCACTAAAATATAAAACCACTTCCAAACTTGGTGATTAAAGGTAAAGAAAACAACTAGGACAAATATTCTAAAATTAATCAACTCTAAAATATTTCTTAAAAGAACAAACTCTAGGGATACTAGGGAAATAATCTATACTTGAGCCAAAAATATTAATTATAAATGGAATGTTTATCAGTCCTGATACATTTAATTACTGTATATAGACCATAGTGTAGCACCAAAAATAATTAATTGGAATTAAGTCTAAGAGAAGCAACATTGTGAATTTTATGTTTTTTGGCAAGTCTAATGAATTACAAATCCATTAGTATAGTGATTAGTCATTTCAAAACTAAAATACTAAAGTTTAAGGAAAGAATGAATGTTAGCCTAATTACAGCATAAAGATGTTCTCTGTGTAATATAAAATTCAAGTCCATCTTTTAAACTGTATCTGGTTTTTAAAATGTATTCTAAATGATTCACTTAGATGCCCGATTTTTCCTTAGAAATTCACTTGGTAATTGTTTGTTGATTAAAGGGATACAACTGAAAGCAGAGCAAAATACAGGCTCTTCTTGGACATGTCTGTCATGTTCTGTCATGTTAGCCATGGCAGTAAGGCTGTAAATCTTACGTGGCATGATGCCCTGGTCCACGAGCTGTTCTCTCGTCCTCCTTTGTTGCAGTCTCAGCTGGAGCACTGTGAAAAGGAAATAATCACCATTGGAGTTTATTGGCAACTGTGGGATCCAATTAATGTGATTTCAGAGGAGATACAATTAAGCTTTATCAACCATCTTCTATTTCAAAATTAAACAAGAAGGATAGTACCTGGCACCATGTTAACTTGTTAAAGGAAAATTATTTTGTAATTTCTGCCTGTTTAATGAACACTAAAGTTTATAAAGCATGAATTTTTGGTTTAGTTAATCCTAATTTGATCACCAAAGCTATGTATTTCTTGTTTAAAACATTCATAGTACTCAAGATAATAAAAATAGTTGGCTTATATATTCAGATTTGCTAATAATTCTAATTCATAGAAAAAAAGATGTGAAATTCTTTGACACACCTTAATTTTTTTAAAGCAAATTTACAGCAAAAATGTATTCTAAGGAAAGACTGACTATAAATAGCTTTAATGAAGGCTGTTTGCATAATAAAAATTAGACCTATGAGATACTCCTAATGACCCACAGGGAAATTTCTAAATTAGGAACTGAAAGTTTAGTACTCTTTGCACAAACATAATAACATCTCATTCTATAAGTTCTAAGAAATTCACAAATCAATTGACACCTTATTACTTTAATAAAAGAGTAAATTATTAGAACTGGCAGAGAACAAGATATACATCATGAAATGCAGGCATCCAGTTTGCCAAATTTAATCAAAATTAATTTTCTTCCTAGATTTCTCAAGCAGATTCCTTTTATAAGCATCTACCTGGTTTTATCTGGAAAATGAGACTATTTCAAAATAAAGGGAATACAGGAGGTGACTCTGAAAAATATTTTTCTTGCTTTGTTTTACATTCAAACCAAGTTTCCATTGTGATTTTAACTTGCCATTTTGATTTTTGTTTCAAACCATGGATGAAAACCAAGATTAGAATGAAGAGGTTGCTTAAGGGTTTTTAATATGCTTAAAAAAAAAAATTACCTATGTGTGTTTCTTAAATGGTGGGAAGTGAAGACAGAATTTTTTTTTTCTTTTTAATTATACTTTAAGTCCTGGGGTACATGTGCAGAACATGCAGGTATGTTACATAGGTATAAATGTGCCATAATGGTTTGCTGCATCCATCACCCTGTCATCTATATTATGTATTTTTCCTGATGCTATCCCTCCCCTAGCCACCCCTCGACCCCCAACAGGCCCCAGTATGTAATGTTCCCCTCCCTGTGTCCATGTGTTCTCAATGGTCAACACCCACTTATGAGTGAGAACATGCAGTGTTTGGTTTTCTGTTTTTGTGTCAGTTTGCTGAGAATGATGGTTTCCAGCTTTATCCATGTCCCTGCAAAGGTCATGAACTCATCCTTTTTTATGGTTGCATAGTAGTCCATGGTGTATATATGCCACATTTTCTTTATCCAGTCTATCATTGATGGGCATTTGCGTTGGTTCCAAGTCTTTGCTATTGTGAACAGTGCTGCAATAAACATATGTGTACATCTGACTTTATAACAGAATGATTTAATCCTTTGGGTATATACCCAGTACTGGGATTGCTGGGTCAAATGGTATTTCTATTTCTAGAATCTTGAGGAATCACCACACTGAGAAGACAGAATTTTCTGGTGAGTCGTGATGGCTGGAATGAGAGGCTCAAATGCAATGCACATGGTGTCTCCTCCTTGCAATAATAAAACCTCAAGGCCTGCACACACAGACACATGGACCCCATCCCTTGTTTTTCAGTTGGTCTTGTGCTAACTGCAGAGCAGAGCAGTCTTAGGTAAACTTCAGAAAGAATCTAAGCTGTAACGTGGCTTTTAAAAATATTTTATCATTGTTAGATATGAATCTCATCATCTATTAGGTACAGAAATAGGTTTCAGTTTTTGTTTGGTTTGAGGCCATAGGATAACAAAGCTTCATTGATACCCTACTTAAAATGGAAACAACTGACAAGATTCTGCTACATAAAGCAAAAGAAATAAAATTTCCTAAAAATATGCACATTCCTGACATTAAGATGTTCTGTAATACTTTATATCAATTGTGCTCTAACACGAAGATCTTTTCCCTAAGTTGATTGAGGATAGCTATATTCCCACTGTACTAGGAACAAAATAACCAAGGAGCTGACCTGTGCATCTTACAGCATCCAGAGACCTGCATACTCTAACATTCTTTTAGGAATGCTAAAGTAAATGCTTGTCTGTATTTAAGACAGTCATATTCCAGAAGCAGAATCTCAAGAAAAAGACAACTGAAAGTACAAAATGGTTAGAACAGTTCTCCAGTTCAAAGGTTGATACTTCTGGAACATGATGGTCTATGTCTGTTGGAGAATCTCTAGAAGGAATATCTTTCCTTTCCTCCAAGGGGAATCCTCAAAAGAGTAGAAAAGAGAGTAATGAAAACAATGGCCCTCTGTATGGATTAAAACAAAAAACAAAACAAAATCCCCACACATCTGTGACACAGCTCTATCAGACACAATACATTTTTTGGGTGAATGGCAACTTCGAATGATGCATACATTTGCAACAACTTGATTTGCAAACCAACAGTGATGACAACAGCTGGTTAGTCTTGGAAGCATCCCCTGATTGTACACTGGTCATCTCAGGTGCCTTCATTTACCAAGAGAGCAGTCTTGTCAGCTGTATTGTCTATGACCAGAAATCACACTTTCAAGCTAACATGAAAACAGAGGTACCTGCTACTATGAGGGTAACACACAACATGGATGTATGTCACTCTGATCTGTTTCTACTTCCAACACTTCTGACACCAGATGTGTGGGCTTTTCCCTCATACCAACCAATTCTCCAACTCTGGATGCCAACTGGCTGTCCAATGATTAAATTCTGACACTATGTAGCTGGAGTTAGTATCAGATCCTACAAGTTAAAATGCTCCATCCCAAGAGACTGCCCTCACTTCAGATGCCAATTGTTAGTCCAAGCCCCCAGACTTTTGACCAATGGGTTATAAAGTTAGGGGGTTCCCATAATCCCCTTCCCAGGTTTGATAATTTTCTAGAATAGCTCACAGAACTCAGGAAGGCACTTTACCTACTATTAGTAGTTTATTATAAAAGATAACAACTCGGGGACAGCCAAATGGAAGACACATACAGGGCATGGCATGGGAGAAGGGGTACAGAGCTTCTGCCACCTATCGAGGTACACCACCTTTCCTCTGGTCATGCCTTGGTCTTTCTGGTCATCAGTCCCTATCCGAAAGCTCCCTAAAGGCCTTCAATTAACTGTCACCTCAGTAGCATATAAAAACCACTCTCACCACTCTGGAGAGTCCAAGTATCTTAGAAGCTCTTAGGAACTGGGAAATAAGACCAAATGTATAACAAACAATGTTCCTATTACTCAGGACATTCAGGAGAACTTTAGGAGTTCTGTCAGGAACCAGAGACAAAGGCCACATAGTCACAATATAATAAACACTAATTACCAATTATTAAAACAACCCCCACAAACAATTTGTGTTTTCTATCTCCTTTTCTATGTGGCCAAACAAGCAATCAAACAACCGTACTTATACTGCTTGAGGGTAGGAGAATAATTTCCCCAATTAAAACTCTCATCATTGCCTATACAACTTTCCCAAGAAGCAAGAACCTCCCACTACAAGTATTATTCAAAGCAGCTGTGGCCATCAGCCTCCCCCAGGCATATTCATTTAGAGCATATCTGTTAGGTGTCTGGGTACTGTATGGGGTACAAATCTGTAGGAAAGAGCAGTAGCTGTGAATGGATCTTTTTAAAGCAGAGACATTAGGAAGAACACGAATGGAAGGGGAGACAGAACTGCAAGTAACTAGCCATTTTGTTAAGTCTGAAGATTACCAATTTTTTTTTGGCTTTTATCTGCACCCGTAGATGGACAGTACTGGACATATTATATTGAATATGAAGCACTATGCCCTATCGAGAGATCAGGTACATTGCTACTTTGGGTTAGTATTAAAACACAATTACAGTTTGGGAGGCCGGAACAAGATGGGCAGATCACTTGAGGTCCAAAGTTCGAGACCAGCCTGGCCAACACGGTGAAACCCGTCTCTATTAAAAATTCAAAAACTAGCCAGACAAAGGGCAGGTGCCTGTATTCACAGATATTCTGAAGGCTGCGGCAGAAGAATCATTTGAAACCAGTGAGCCGAGATCGTGCCACTGCATTCCAGCCTGGGCAATAGAAAGAAATTCTGTCTCAAAACACACAATTATATAATACATTATATATTTTATACATATATATATTTATTATTATTATTATTATTTTTGGAGAGGTAGTCTCGCTCTGTCACCCAGGCTGCAGTGCAATGGTGTAATCTCAGCTCACTGCAACCTCTGCCTCCTGAGGTTAAGTGATTCTCCTGCCTTAGGCTCCCGAGTAGTTGGGCCTATAGGCATGCACTACCATACCCGGCTAATTTTTGTATGTTTTAGTAGAGATGGTGTTTCACCATATTGGCCAGGCTGAACTCCTGACCTTAAGTGATCCACCCTCCACATATATTACGTATTTTGTGATAAATTATGTATTATTTGTTGATGTCAACTAAAACCAGTCATTCACAACTTGACAAAGCCTATTCTGAAAGCAACTACTACTCATAAAAAGTACTAATCATATAGGTACAGACTCATAATTTTAGAAAATATCAAACTTCCTTTCAGAACTTCTGTTTATCAAATCAGTAACAAAATTAAGTGACAGCAGATATCTGCACCTTAGATGGAGACCATCTAAGGCCAGGAAGACCATGGCTTGAATGATATAGACAGCTTAATTGTCATACAACACAGGAGTAAGGCAGAATGTGCTGGTGCTTATCCAGGACTAAGGAAGGGGAAAGGGACTCTGAAAACAGAGGACTACTACAATCTTTTAATGATCAGAGTGGCATTCACAGTTGTGGGATCAGAAATGCTTTATCAAGTTTCCCTGGGACTAAGTTTGGAGACTTTCTTCCTTTTCAGCCTCCACACTCACCCTCTGTGTTTATATCTGCATGGAGGGAAAAAAGGCTTAGACCACTGAATGTCACTCAGCCTTGCACAGTTGCCTGACACACTGTGCTTGTGTTGACAAGATTTCCTATCTGTAGCTGCAACCAAAGACTAGGCACTGGCCTGGTACTGCTTTCGAGTAGCAGAGGCAGTCTGGCAATGGCCTCATGTGTCAAAACTGTACCCTAGAGCATTCTCCCCTGGTGCCTTGTTGAGTGGATGAACTGCACTACTGGGTTGACATCATAGCCTTCATCCTCTTCTAAGTTGAGTCACATTCAGCGACTTCCATGGCCATCTTGCAATTAACTGCATGCAAAAAAAGGATATATGTACAAAATATAGAATCCTCAGGTGAATAAACAGTTCAAAACTGAGTGTGTACAACCTTTCAGAAACAAAGGACATAATAAAGAGAAATGGACTTCAGGTTACAATTGCTCACATTTGAACATTTTCAAAGAACATTATTTTTGAAAAAGGTAAAGATGAAACAATCTAACACATGGTCCTAAGAAGTCCTGAGGTTTAAAATCATGGTTTAAAACAGGGTGTAAACCTGTTTGATTTTATCAAAAAAGGAGGCAGTTATAAAAAAAACATATCTCATACAGGTAGCATTGTATTCTCTGTGCAAAATATTACCCCAAGGTGAGAATTCTGCAACAGCTGTATATTTCCAGATGACAGAGCCCACAAGAGGCAGGCAAAGCAACCTCATGGATGGAGAGAGATGAGGTTATAAATCCATTTATTTATGGCATGCATTCTAGCTTTCCTAACTAGCCTGGGTCCCAGGCATTTTTATTAAAAAAAAATATTTTCACACATGATGAGTCAAGTATGTTCATTACACAAAATATAGAAAACAGTAGGATAAAAAAACTAAAAAAGGGCCAGGCATGGTGGCTCATGCCTGTAATCCCAGCACTTTAGGAAGCTGAGGCGGGTGGATCACCTGAGGTCAGGAGTTCAAGACCAGCCTGACCAACATGGTGAAACCCTGTCCCTACTAAAAATACAAAATTAGCCAGGCGTGGTGATGCATGCCTGTAATCCCAGTGACTCAGGAGGCTGAGGCAGGAGAATCACTTGAATCCAGGAGGCAGTGGTTACAGTGAGCCAAGATCGCGCCATTGCACTCCAGCTTCCAGCCTGGGCAACAAATTACAAAACTCTGTTTCAAAAAAAAAAAAAAAAAAAAACTGAACTAAAAAAGAAAATCACCAATAATATCATCATCCAGAGAGACACAACCAGAGTTACCATATGTCGTCTCTGTCTTTTTTCTCAGCATAAATTTTGGTTCTCTGCTTCTACATATTCTGATCACTCTGTAACTACAATGATAAATACTCTTTTTATTTTAGTGGCTAAATAAAATATTCTGGTAGGTGGACATGGCATAGTTTACTAGATAGTCCTTGTTTATCACTTAGGTTGTTTCCAATTTTTTAAACTATAAATAATGCTGTGGTGGAATTTCTGTGTTTAAAGTGAATTCCTCATGTCCAATTATTCCCTTAATTTGAATTCTTAAAAAGAAGACTATTTCAATGTAATCTACATAAAGCATGGCCATAAAGTAATGAGACTAAGTTCCTTATGTCTGAACTATTGTCTTTTGCAACTGTAGTAGACATATGAGAATGTGGATACAGATGGCTATCCATTTCATTTAGAGAAAAAAATTTAATTATTGGTTTATTACCTTTATCTCTTAGGGCTAATATTGACCATTTCCTATTACAATAAGGAGAAAAATGCATATAATTTTGAAATTTTTACTTAGTACCTATTCCTTATCACAACAGATAAAAACAGTATTATGTCAATGAGGTGTTTTGAATTTGCTCTACTTTTATGCAAGAAAAGTAAAAATTTGATTTTAATACCATTTCCAAAAAAAATGAAAGACAGCATATCCAATGATAAACTGAAAATGTCACTCCCAGCAATATGGTAGTTTAGATATTAAGTATCTTAAGTGTTACAGCTCTTTTAGAATTTGTCTAGCAGGTTTTCCATTAAAAAAAAAAAAGTATCTTCTTTTAGTTCCTTTCCCCTGCTTCTTAAATGGTTTACAGTACTTTTAGAACAAAATTTTAAAATTAGTTTCCAATATAAAAATACTGTAAGGCCAAATGTGGTAGTTCATGCCTGTAATCCCAGTGTTTGGGAGGCTGAAAAGGGAGGATGGCTTGACACCAGGAATTTTAGACCACCCTGGGCAACCATAGTAAGACCCAGTCTCTACCAAAAAAAAAAAAAAATAGCTGGCATGGTAGCACACACCTGTAGTTCCAGCTACTTTGGTGGCTCTGAGGTAGGAGGATTACTTGAGTCCAGGAGTTTGAGGCTATACAGTGAGCTATGATTGTACCACTGCACCCCTGCCTGGGCAATAGAGCAAGATCCCTGTCTCAAACAAACAAAACCCAGCCTTTCAAATACAACAACTTCTTTCACATGATACTTATAACCCTAATTCAAAAATTTCACATGCTTTTTGAACTAAGATGCATCTTTTCTCTTTTGTTTCTATAAGTAGAATGTTGAATTTTTTGTTGTTGTTGTTTTTTGAGACAGAGTCTTGCTTTGTCACCCAGGCTGTAGTGCAGTGGTGTCATCTCAGCTCACTGCAACCTCTGCCTCCTGGGTTCAAGCGATTCTCATGCCTCAGCTTCCTGAGTAGCTGGGATTACAGGTGTGTACCACCATGCCCAGTTAATCTGTTATATTTTTAGTAGAGGTGAGGTTTTGCTATGTTGACCAGGCTGGTCTCAAACTCCTGGCTTCAAGTGTTCCACCTGCCTTGGCCTCCCAACGTGTGAAATGTTATCTTAATATAATGTAATTACTGTACCTTTTCAGTCTAAAGGGAAAATATATTTTATGTAGCATATTAATAACAAAAAGCAGTTTAGTTTGAGTTGAGCAAGCCAAGGCAAAGCATGGCTCTGGTCTTGAGTTTTCAGTGGGACATCTGAGGACTGTATGTTACCAAAACAAGGCAGAAATGACACTTTCTGGGAAGCATAAAAAAAATGGCAGGCAGGCATGGTCTTGGAAATTCTTTCTGAATAGCTGGATTTCAGTTATGGGGTATGAAAGAGGGTGGGAGAGAGGAGAGGTGCTGGGCAGCTATCTGTGAGTTAGAAGCTCCAATATATATTATTTAATTATAGGACAATGTACAGAACAAACTTCAGAATCATGAGTAAAAAAAAAACCCTGAGGAGTAGTCAAGTGAGGGTTAGATCAACCATCTTGGCAAAAGCAAAGATGGAAAACTAAAGAATACTCTAGAATTGACTATGTATTGACTCTGAAGTCAGTACTAGGTAATAAACAGATCGTGGTTTCAGTTGTTTCTTTTTCTTTTTCTTTTTTTTTTTTTGAGACGGAGTTTCACTCTTGTTACCCAGGTTGGAGTGCAGTGGCACGATCTCGGCTCACCGCAACCTTCGCCTCCTGGGTTCAAGCAATTCTCCTGCCTCAGCCTCCTGAGTAGCTGGGATTACAGGCACGTGCCACCATGCCCAGCTAATTTTTTGCATTTTTAGTAGAGACGGGGTTTCACCATGTTGACCAGGATGGTCTCGATCTCTTGACCTCGTGATCCACCTGCCTCGGCCTCCCAAAGTGCTGGGATTACAGGCTTGAGCCACCGCACCCGGCCAGTTGTTTATTTTTCAAACAGACATCAGGGTAGTTAAGAGAATGAAGTGGTTGGACTTTGGCAAAAGTTTATTATGTGTTGTTTAAATAGTATTAAGTGAAGGCCTGATCCTGTAAGAACAAGACAATTTAGAAAAGCCAACTTCCTCATATTATCTTTCGAGCTTGGATACAGTAGGCATCAGTTGGATTCTATTCAATACTTGTTTCCATGTCTCATCAGATAGCAGTGTAGTGGCCAAATGTAGAATTGTACTTGTTTCATCAGGTAAGGACCTGAAAACAATTATACTCAAAGGGCAAAAGACTGATGAACTACTTTTCCTTTCTCTTAAAAATAAAATGTTTAAAATGATGGTGGCTATTACTAATTATTGCTGCTACTATTACATTAGACACTTGGTGAAAATAACACTTTCTTCTCCAAATATAAAACATAAGGCTTTAAAAATCTTAATTCCACAAAGATTCACAGATTTATAGTTCTCTGCTGTGAATAGTTTATCTTGCAGTCAAAGGGGAGAAAGTCACATCATGAACTTTCCTTCTGAGCCCGGGAACTCAAACAGACCTTGATGTGTACTGCTAGTATCTTGATTTAAGAATCCTTGTTTTAGAATACATTTTTCATTTATTTGTTAAAATAAAGTATACATGTACAAAAGAGAGATTTTTAAAAAGAAGAGTGCAAATTAATCCATCCTACTTCAGACTTCCAGTCCTTCTCCCCAGAGGTAAACACTGTTAGATTTCTATAGCTCCAGAAGATATTTTGTGAATTGTTCACCAAGGCTATATATAAAATATGCAAAGGAAGTATATGTGTGGGATAATACTATTTATATAGTTTGGTAATTTGCTTGAAGAATATCACATAATCTAGCTCTTTCTTCTTAATGGCTGTATCTAACATATGGATGTATTATTCATATACTTATGTTACCAGATTTTTGCTATTACAAATAATGCTATAATGAATATCCATCCCCATTCATTTTGGGGGCATCTTTTGATGACACAGCTATAAATTAAGTTTCTAATAATGGAACACACACTTTAAACTCTCATAGGGTCACTTTGCCTTCCAAATGGTTGTATCAATCTGTAGTGCCACTTACAAGGTAAGAGAGTACCTTTTTATTTCTCCCCTTCCCCACAATGTACATCATTAAGCTTTAAAGTAAGTTTAAATTTAGAAACAAAGATTACCTCCTCTCACCTAAGGGTACTGGTGATATCATGTCAAATTAATATATATAACTAGTAAGCAGTAAAGATCTGTAAGATATGAAAAGAATTAGTGAGAGCTGGGTTTCTGACTCAATGGGGAGATATTGGCCATGGCTGTCAAATACTCAGGGCAAGCTTTCTCTTCAAACCAAACATTTATTTTTAAACTTCACAGAATTTTTCTGATGTTCCAGGATAGAAACCTTGGTCACAGAACTTATTTTTTTCTTCAGCTCCATCATGGCTGAGAGAAGTAATGAACAGATTTGAGATTTATTTAGAATAAAATTAACAGGTATGGTAAGGGATTGGATGGTAAGTTTGGAGAAGGAGGTCACAAAGATGACCCTGGGTTTCAGGCTTAAGCACCCGGGTAGAGCACTTACTGAGATAAGGTATGCATGCTGGCCATTAGGAAATACAGTCTTGGGCACGTTTGAATAGGAAGTGGAGATGTCAAAATGGCATTTGCCTACACGGGTCCAGATTCAGGAGATCTTGGCAAAGACTGGAATTTCGAAGTTGTTGCTTATGTAGTATTTGAAGCCATGGGAGTTTGCTGAGGTAAAGAATAAAAATAGAGAGGAAAAGAAAGCTCTTAAGAAAGCCAACAATTAGAAGCCCAGTTACAGGTCAGATAGGGAAGGAAGATCCAACAAAGGAAAGCAGAGGAAGGTGCTTAAAAAGGCGGAGGAACCAGGAGAGTGCAAAGGTTTTTAAAGGGGGCATGATCAAGTATGTCACTGTTTCAGTCCCTGGAGGAGATACTTTTGTAAAGTGATGGATGTAAGTCAGGCTGGAGGGGGTCGGGAGTGAATGAGAGGCAAGAGTACGAGAGCAGTTAGTGTAAGCGTGTTTTTAAGATGCTGCTGGCCAGGCGCAGTGGCTCACACCTGTAATCCCAGCACTTTGGGAGGCCGAGGCAGGTGGATCATGAGGTCAGGGGATTTAGACCATCCTGGCCAACATGGAAAAACCCCGTCTCTATTAAAAATACAAAAATTAGCTGGGCATAGTGGCATGCACCTGTAGTCTCAGCTACTTGGTAGGCTGGGGTAGGAGAATCACTTGAACCCAGGATGTGGAGACTACAGTGAGCCAAGATCGCACTACATTCCAGCCTGGCCAAAAAAGGGAGACTCCGTCTCAAAAAGAAAAGAAAAGAAAAAAAAAAAAAGATGCTTCCCAGGAAGAGCAGGAGAGAAAGTAAAACCCTGAGCGTGTTAAACTTGAAGTTGGAAGCTACTTGAGCAAATTTGTAACTGATGAAGAGCAAGAGAGAGGGAAGGGGAGAAGAAAGAACTGAGAAGAAATAATGAGTGAATGAACAAAAGCACAAGAGATAGCAGGTTCCTTGACAGCAGTAGGAAGGGGCCAGATGTACAAAGACATCTTTTATTAAGAGATACTGCCTCTATCATAATAGGAAGGCAATGAAGATTGGCTATCGCTGCAGGAAGCTTTATAGCTTTCATCTGGGACATCTAGGGAGTTCCCTGATGACGCCTTTCAAGTTTTCAGAGAAGTTGAAAGAAAGGTCATCTGTTGCAAGTAAGATGGGTAAAGGGAAAGTTAATTTTGAGGCCAGTGAAGGAAGTTTGGAATAATCACTATAGACTGTGAAGAGAAAGTTGAAAAGAGAAACATGGTTATGTATTACCAAAACTAGCAAAGGCAACAGCCAGGGGAGAGAAATCAGGAAACTGGTTGGTATGTTATTCACTGGCTCTAAATGGTATCATTTTTATCAGTGGAAAAGACCACAAAATACAAAACTAGATACAAAACTAGAACATTTAGCAGTTCTTTCTAAAGTCTTTGCTAAACTGTGTGTCATTTTAGTTAATAACAATTGCAACCCAGCAATTCTACTACTAGGTGAAATAAGACTTGGAAACAGGTACTCAAACAAATACATGTACACACATGTCCACAGAAACTCTATTTACAATAGCCAAAAGGCAGAAACTGCCCAAATGTCATCATCAGATGAATGGATAAACAAATTGTGGCATATCCATACAATGGAATACTATTCAATCATAAAAAGAAATTAAGTACTGATAAATACTATGATGTAGATGAAACTGAAAAACATTAGAAGGAAAAGAAGCCAGATAAAAAAGCTCACATATTGT